GTGGGTAAGAGGACCTGCCTGTGCAGGACCTGCCACGTTGGAAACCCACCCTCCTGGAGAAGGGGTTCACCCTCTCTCCATCACCAGGCTGTGACCCACCAAGGCAGGGACACTGCCAGCGCCTTCCCACCACCACACCGGACATCGCCCCAGGGGCTGGGGATAAGCACTCACGTCACACGGTTGCTCCTCGGTCCTGCGCCGCGGCACTGGACTCCTGTGGGATGGAGGAGGGATGGGAATGTCAGCACTCCCATGGGAGTGGGGTGTTGGGGGCCGGGGGGCCGGCTCTCTGTGGCCTACAGCAGTAACCCGTGGGCCAGTGGGCAGAACCCCACTGAGGCTCCAGGAGCTGACTACAGCCCGAGCACCATCTCTCTGCCCTTCCCCATCACCTGCAGGACATGTTCAGCAGCAGCTAATGACCCTCATGGTGGCCCCGGCTGGGACGCAGGGGATGAGGGAGAGTCCAAGAGGTGCCAGGACTTGGTGACAAACATCCCAGTGAGGTCCCATTCTCCTGGGACCCCATGTTGTTGACCATACCAAAGCCTAGTGCAGGGTCCAAGGCAAGAGCTTGACACCACAGAGGGGGCCGACAAAGAGGAGAAAAATCACCATGCCCCTGGGCTTGCTCTGCACGTAACTCTTTCCTCAGTGATCAGAGGGACCACAGCCATCGCCTCAGGTGTGCTGGGCCATAGGAGGAAGGAGGACCAGTTATCACCTCTCCAGGTCTCTGGCGAAGGGCTACAGCCCATCAGCTCTGTCCTGCGTGGCTGCCTTAGGCTGCCCTTCTCCACAAACCGGCTCAAACCTTCCAGCCCAGCCACCAGAAAGCAAAGAGGAAAACAATAACACAGCAGGTTCCTGCATCTTCCTTAGCCTACGTTCAGCTTAGCACCTTTCCCCAGGCTCTCCCGTACTGGCACATGCCGTGTCTGGCCCGTGGAGCTCCAGCAGAGCCAGCCCCAGGGAATGTCCTTGGCTTTGAAGCACTCCGGGATTTTTACACAGACGGTTTGCTTCCTTTTTCTTCCAAGGGCTTTGCCACGTGTGCCCTGGTGTTGGTTTTGTGGGGTGAGAAGGGGCCAGCTCTTGTGGGGTGGGGTGACATCACACTGGCTGCCTTCCCCCAGCCCCCTTCCATGAAAATCATCTTTCCCCAACTGCAGGACCACAGGAGAGCGCGCGAGTGAGTGAACGTGTTGGGTGTCTGCTACCACCCCCAACAGCATCATTTGCTCAGTGGTAACAGTCCGGAGGCAGCGACAGGGAGCAAATCCCCCAAGTGGGGGGCCATCGATGGCCAAGCAAATGGTGTCCTCACCCGTGCTGCCCTGGAGCTCTCTAGCATCTCCAGCAAGGTGGTCTGGTGGGAAGGTTGGGAGATACCAGGGTGCTGGGAGCTCCAGCCAGTGTGGGCTGTCCTCCTCTCTGAGCACAGCCAGCACCAGCCCCTCTGGAGCATGGAAGAGCAACCAAGAAATGACCGGTTGGTTTCACCATTTTCTAGACTTCAAGGCAAGAAAAGCTCCTGGAGACATCTGTCCCTGCCTGTACATTGCTGGTCATGTTGAGGCCCAGCACTGCAGTGAGGCTACAGTTTTGGAGAGACCAAGCTATGTGCAGCGGCAGGGCTCCCCCAGGCCAAGAAAAAGCGATCCCAATGGATGTCCCCAAAGAGCCCAATCACAAAGGAAAACGCATCCCTTGCCCAAGGGGCAGCTGGCAGCAGGTCTGCAGCATCTCCCATGCAAGTCAAGCAGTGACCTGCCTTTTCCCCAGTGGTGCGGGTACCCACAGGGTGGGAACTGTCACGGTGACTCTGCGTGCCTCAGACATTAGAAAACAGATGGGAAAAGGCAATCAAAAAAGGTAAGCAGAAACAGGGTGGGCAGGATGGGGCAGGTCCCCACGCCACAGTCAACCTGACGCAAGCCTAGGCTCGCCTGTCCCCACTGCACAGCTCACGCCGCCACACTTGGGCTGGTCGATCTTGTCAGCAGCAGGACTTGGGGTGCTGTGCCACAACCCTTCAAGCCCTCCAGCCCAGGGGACCACATGGGGACGAGGAAGAGGAGGAACCTACCTGCTGCCTCATGTCCTCCACTCCAGGCTGTTTTCTGCTGCCGTCGTCTCTTCCCAACTCATCAGCCTGTTCGTGCAGACTCAGGCTCCCGTGAATATCCGATACTTCATCTGCCGACCCCAGTCCGGTCTCCTCCAGGCAGATGCTGCCTCCTTCCTGCACCAGCTCTCCCGGGATGCTGGGACTTGACCCTCCCAGCACCCGATGGCTCAGGAGCTTCCTCTGGCGGCTTGAGCTCCCGGGAGCAGTGCCAGCATCCTGCAGCGAGCCTGCAACGCTGGATCCCTTGCCTGCCCGCCTGCTGTCGCGAGTGCCAGAGCTGGCTGGTGTGTTCGGGGCTAGGGTGGTGGAGCGGCTCTGCTCCCCGCCTTTGCCACCCTTCTGGACCGCTCCGTTCTGCAGGCCACCCGTGGGGACAGTCCCATTGCGAGCCCGCTCCCGCTGGAGCCGGTCGCTGCTGTGCTCCAGCTCCTCCGTGCTCGGCTCCCGGCTGCCGTCGGGCAGGGGACCGTCCTGCTGCTCATGGAAAGTGGGTTTCTTCCCGATGTGTGTGACACGAAACCTGGAACAGGGGCAGGACGGATCAAAATCCTTTCCCTCATCTCCCCCAGCTGTATTTCCAGCTTGTCTGCACCTCCAGCCTCAGATCTCCCTTGTTTGTAATCGATTTGTGCTGCTCTCCAAACCTTTTAGACCTATTCAACACCACCAACCCCCACTCTACACATGCCCGGACTGACTTAACCCCACTTTTCCTTTCCTTTTTGGCAAAACAAATAAAGAAGAATGAAAAGGTCAATCCAGCTGTTGGCTGGTACCGACCCTGCCAGCCTGTCCTCTCTGCAGCAAGATGGGTTGCAGCTCTTGGAAATGCTCTGAGATGCAACCTGGATGAACAGGAGCTTGTACAGAAACTCAGGTGTTGGTTCAGAAGGTAAAATGCAAACTGGCTGAGCCTCCTGAGGAAGGGATGGCCATGCAGAGCTGCATGGATGTTGCGCCCAGTGGCTGACTGCCATCAGGGGAATAAGAACCAGCATTTTCAGCAGGCAGTGCACGCTAAGTGAGGGCAGGGACAGGGTTTTGGTAGAGGGACCAAAGGCAGGAGGAGTTGTTTGGCTAATATCTGCCAGAGCACATTGTGCGCCATCCCCTGGAGCGATGGATGGTACCTAGGTGGTTCACCAAGGTTCCACTAGGTACTAGGTAACAGCTCAGATCTCCAGGGTAGGCAGAACAGCTGGAGACGTCAGTCTGACACCCACAAAGGCTGCACTTATAATCAGCAGTGATGCAATATTGCACCTGGGAAGAAGAGAGAAGTTAGGGATCTACCATAACCTTGAGATTTGTGAGAGGTAACAAGTAGGCAAAGCCTGAATTGCAAGTGAGCTGGCTGTGACTAACGCTGTGATGCTCTTCGTAAGCGATACAGGCCACTGCTGGACCAGCAGATGGGAAATCTCTTCCACCGTGAGCTAGTGTCCACCAGCCAAGGAATGCTGATCCCACCACAGAGCCCGTGACTCACCCAGCAACAGCTGTCCTTGCACTTGAGTCACACACAGAGAAGCCACAGATGGCTCTGCTGAGGCTCAGCTGCGAGTCAGCATCAGGCTAAAATATGATTTCAGCAGCGAAGTTCAAGCATTGCTGGGGTTGAAAGAAGAACAAGACCCAAAGGTATGGCAGTATGGCCGTTCTGAAGGAAGAAGCTGAGAAGAAAGGTCCAAGATATAAGAACAGATGCCAGAGATGAAGGAGACCAACGCCAGACTGAGGACCAGGCAGCAGTCTGTGGACAGTAGAGGCCCATTGCAGTCAGAAATGCTGCTCATGATTGGAAGGATCAAGAAGAAAAATGCTCCAGCTCTGGATGAGGTACCCACAAGACTGCTTGGGTCAGGCCAAGCAGCAGCAAATGTGACCTTTCAGGTCTATCCAGATATTTGGAGACAAGGCACCAGCACTGTGATTCAGGAAGACCAAAGAACATTCCACTCCCAAAGAGGGGCGGGGAGGAGACATGAGTGGCAGGGTCATTTCTTGGTAATGCCATTGAGCAACGTCAGTCTGGAAGAACTGGGAATGGATGCAAAGGAGCAGGCAGGGTTTGAACTGGAGGGGGCACAAGAGGTAACGTAACCAACCGCTGGATGGTGAGGGAAAAGGCAGGAAAGCTTTGGCTGTCTGCCTCGTCAGCATCACTGAGGCGTTTGATTCTATAGAACGTGACATGCTGCAGCTGATCAGGCTAAGGATGGAGGGTCAGATGCAGATGCTTTTGTGGACATGCTCTGCCACTGACAACTGGTTTAGGGAAAGCCCCAAGATAGATGGTAAATCATTCAGTAATACGAAAGTACAGATCATATAATCCTGATTACCTCAGAAATCTAGAAAAATTTGGGTGGAAAAAGCTCTTGGGAGGTCTCCAGTCCAACCCTCTGCTTGAAACTGGGCCACCTCCCACCTTCAATCAGGTTGCCTGGGGACCCCGTCCAGTCAGGTTTTGGAAATCTCTGAGGATGGAGATCCCTCCGCTCCTCTGGGTCCTGTCCCAGGGCTGCACCGTTCTCCGGGTGACAGTTTTTCCTTAAGTGTTATCTGGATTTCTCTTGCTGCAACTTGTGGCCATTGCCTCTTGTCCTGCCTTGTATACCTCTGAGATGAGTCTGGCTCCATCTTCATTTAAATTCCCCTTACCTACTGGAGTAGTTTTAGAGAGCAATTAGATTCCCCCCACCCCCTTAGACTTCTCCAGGCTAATTAAACGCCATTCCCTCTGAAGCTCCTCACATGCCACGTGCTCCAGCCCCTGATCATCTTGGTGGACCTCCACTAATTTAACTTCTTTCCACTCCTTCAGCAATGAGCCTGTGCCTACCAGCTGGGGACCAGACTCAGTCAATGAGCTGTAGGTAATAGGGGAGGAGGATGGACTCTCAACCACTGTGTCCAAAACAAAAGCAATAGCAAAAAAAACAAAAAAAAAAAAAGAGAGAGGAACAAGACCTGAGGACTGCAACAGAAGAGCTGGGTTAAATGAGCTTTTGCATGTAGGATCAGTCATGAATCGAGGTATTTTGTGCAATGAGGATATTCACAGTAAATAAGACACAGCAAGGGCAGTCCCAGAAAAGTCATCCAAGGATCTGAAAGAGCAAAGGGGCCAGCTTGGAAACGAGAACCAGAAACTGGAGGTAGTTTTGTACCTCATGGGCCTGTAAGCCCCTTAGCAGCTGGACCTCACACCAAGGAGGCTTGGGAAGTGGAAACTTTTAGAATATAACCTCGGTGAAATATAATGACTGTCCCTGGAGAAGGCTGATGTGGCACGGAATATTAGCGATAAAGAGAGGAAACCAAGATTTGATGGAAAGTGTCTTTAGGAAAGAAGACCACCTTCTCCAGCACTCAGAGGTGAGTGAGAGGAGACTGAGAAGAGCATGGACGGAGGACACAGGAGTGGATGGAGCTGGGTACCAGCCAGGGAATGAGATTAGCTATCAATATGCAATTACGCAGAGATCTGGCTTACCAAACACCACCCCTTAAACCAAGGACAGCTGACAGCAACGGGCAAAGAGGAAGCCAGAAGCTGTCAGTCTCCAGAAGGTGTGATCTTTGCTGGAGTTCAATGTGAGGACGTCTAGCGTCTCTCTCCCATTTACCAGGTCCCCATAAAGCCCCCAGTTCACCTCCCTACTGAAAGTCCTACCTGTGACAGTGAAAAAACCCACATCCCCTGATGCCCACTCTGGCTCAACATCACCATGAAAAGACTGTGTCTCATGGAGCTTCATCAAGGCTTAGGCCCTAAATGAAGACCTGCTGCAGGATCTGAGCACAGCAGAGCTTTGTGTCTCACCAGGGTGGCCATCCAGGGAGCAGCAGCTGCTTGTCACCCTGCCCCGTCACCATGGTGGTACAGAGATAAGTCCTGGAAGACCTTGCTAGAGGTCTTGTGCATGTTTTCTGCTGGGGAATGGGGTAACCTGGGCAAGCCTGTAGATTGTACTAAATGTTATTGACTACACAGAGACCACAGGCAGCTCAGGAAGTCCCTTGAGGTGAAACCAGGTGGGGACGGGAAGAATATTTGTGGGAAGTATTGGGCATACTCCCCTATTCTTATATTCCTCCCATGACATCTAATTACAGTCATCATTGGAGGCAACAACCTGCAGGAGCATAGCCACTCTTTCGTTCTGAAGGTGGTGGCTGGTAGCTTGCACCTGGGCCCTGCTGTCACCTCTTCCCCTTCCTAATGAGATCCCTAAAACTGGGGTTACTGCCCCTCTTGGGCAGCAAGAGCCCTGCTCGCACGTAGATGGGACAGCAGGCTTTGAAAGGACATGGATTTGGGGCTCTGGCCAGCCCTGAGTCAGCAGGACAAGCCAGGCTTGAGTCACCTTCCCGGAGAAGGAGGAGGTAAGCCACTAGTGCATCATGGCCTGCCACATACCATAGGCATTTCCAGGTGCAGGAGGCACCTGGTTCCTTGGGAATTCCAGCTGTAGAGCTACTACTGGGGCATCTAAACAAGAAAGAGCAAGAGGCCATCAGCAGATGGGCCACGTCTGGCAAAGCTCATTTAAGTACCTGCCCACTGAGAAGACGGTGGTCTCTCCAGGATGCATCCTGCCTTTGCCATCCTTGGACCGTCCTTGCCGATGCAGTGGGTGCCTCTTCCTCTTGCTGCAGTGGATGCAGGGGGCCTGCGTGGAGCCCAGATGCACTGTGTGGTGATGTGGTGGGCCCCCGTCCTGGCTGTTACGGTGAGGACAAAGGCTGCAATAGGAGAAGGACGTGACAGGTCGTGTTATCTGAAGGAGAATTCCCAACCTTGGTGCAGCTTCACTACAGCAAGCTCTGAGAAGCAACAGCTCTGGAGGGAACCTCCTGTGAAGACAGGAGTGAGGGAAGGCAGTTCCCCTTGATGGTGGGGTGACCGTCATCACAACCCGTAGGGGAGCAGGACTTCTTGTTGGGAAAATGCTTTATAACAAGCTGGAAAGAGGCTGGCTGCAGAGTCTGCAGACCAAGGTGATACCCAAAGGCTGCTTCTCCCTCACTCTGCAAGAGCCACAAGCTGGTATAGGCTTCTCTCACCTGGGCACTGGCACTGGGATGTCCCCTTCGTTGTCCCCTAGCATCTCCTTGAGGGCCTCTGCATTTGCTAAAGAGAGAAGAAAAAGGGCATGCGTCAGCCAAAGTGGTCAGCAAGTCTTCGGGCCAGCCCTAGGAAATGCTCACCTTCATTTTGGATGATGCATCTCACAATCTTTTCCACGGTGTCCTCGTTCAGCTCCTCCTCTTCATCTGAAAAAAGAAAAGGTGGCACTGAGGGTTGGGATTCAGATACTCGGCTCGCCAGTCCCTCTCCAGGAGCAGCCACTTTGACAGAGAGGTCAGAAAAATCTTGTATCCCGCATTGTACTGGGAAGCCCCTGGAGAACACCAGATCCCTTGGCCTGGAAAAGAAATGGCTAAAACAGCAGCCATGTGTGCAAGGAAAGGGGGGTTCTATTGCTCCATCAGAACTGGGGAGCATCACGTGAAATGAGTGGGAAGCAGGCTTGGAACAAGTCGAAAGAGAAGGCTCCTCATGGGGACAGTGCAGCCCTGGAGCTCCTGGGTGTAGGATGTTGCAGGTGCTAAAAGTCTCCAAGGGTAAATGGGACAAGTTCACAGAAAAGAAACCCGCTGGGGCCTGTTAGATACTGTCCATCTCTGACGGAGGAAGCCCCAGAGCTACACAATGTTAGAAGTTTAAAGAGTATGCTGGGGAAACTTGGCTCGGTGTCTCCTCCGTTGTGGTATTCATCCCCAGCATTCATTGCAACCTGCTTCTGGCCACTTGTTGGAGGTAGGAAGCTTGGCTGGCTGGACCTTCAGCCCAGTCTGCAGTATTATGTGTTCCTGTGAGCAGGTCAGAGTCGTGGTCTGGTAGGCAGCTGCTTCAAAGAGCATGGTCAGGAGCTGCCACTGCTCTCCTGGAAGCCCACATAGATGTTTCCCTGGGCTGTGGCAACTCCAGTGGCAAAGACAATCCTGGAAGGTTCAGCCATTGTCTCCATGTCATGTGCAGCCAAGTTATTGAAGCCAGAGGAGCACATCCAAGGACGCCTGGAAGCTCCTGCTGCATCTGTGGGCAAGCTGAGGGAGCCACGTTTCCCTCCTGGTGCACGAGAAGTGGCAGCGGGAGATGCTGACCCTCCTGAGCGCTGTCAATGGCACAGAGGAGCCAGAGGAGTTATGTAGCAACATTTGGCTGTTTTCAGGCAAGGAAGCAGACGGAGGAACACGTCTTCCCCATTTCAGCAGAGATTCATGAAAACACTAAATGACAGAGCTTGCTTGGACTGAGCTCTGGCTTGCACCCACGCTCGATGCTGCACTGACTTCCCAATCCTACTACCCAAGAGCCGGTTACGATGGTCTGAAGGGATGGAAAAACCCCTAAAGGTCCCCTTACAGTGTGGTGGCAGAGATCCCAAGGAAACACCCCTATTCCTCTGGCCTGCATGAGCACAACAGGGACTAGAAGAGCACATGACTGATAGCAAACACCATGCTGGCCTCACGCCGAACCTCCTAATGCCAAAGGGCCAGAGGGACAGCTCATGCCCTGGCTAGGAATTCTTTCCTTGTAGGGGACATGGGTTATAATTCAGGTGCTGGGGTTTTGGCAGGTCCTGGCTGCTCATCAGAATTATCTTTTGGTGATAACTCTGCTTTGGGAAGGCTCAGACACCGGCTTCTGCCTCCCTGGCACCACCAGCCTTCACCAGCCTGCGGAGCCAGCAGATCAGAGGGGTTCTCCGGGCCGCACGCTCCCAATCCCTGGGGAATACCACGTTACTCTCGTTGCCCCATCCCTTTTTTTCAACCCAAGGGCATGTGATGGGTAACCGTCACACCCCCAGCCCGCATCCCAGAAGCGTGTTTAAAGAGCATCGGTCCACACCAGCAAAAGGCAGCGAAAGCCCCCACTGAGCCCCCATCACCCCAGCACTCACTGGCCTGGAGCTCTGCCAGCACATCTTTGTTATCTGGGTCGAGCTCGTCCCGGAAAGTCCGGCACCGGTAACCCTTCTTCTTCAGGACATGGCAGATCAGGAAACCCACCAGCCCCATGATGAAGAAGACCAGGACGAGGAGGAAGACCATAGACAGGCTGTGCTGGGGGTCTGACTCCCCATCGTCGGTGCTGTTCTGGTCTGACATGCGGATCTAGGAGAAGGGGGAAGGTGGATCAGAGACCCCGGTGCTCACCCCTCGCCAGGCTCCCCATGCCCATCCTTCTCTTCCTCTTCCTCCCGTCTGCCTTGGGCAAGAGCCACCTCCCGGCTTAGGGTGGGCTGCCGAGGGCTCATCTCTTGCCCCGCAAGGTCCAGCGTGGCAGGGGGCCCCCACGGAGGAGAGAACAGGCTGGAGGTGGCTCATCACGGTCTCCCAAGGACACCGCTGTGCCCCTCACACAGCCGGCAAGAGGCATCCCAAGGGCAGCGGTGGCGGCGGCTGCATTCCCGCCGGCGCGCCCGGCCCCCCGCG